CAAAGTTAACACGAGTCGTGATGAAAAATATTTTTATATTAAAAAATGTGAAATTCATTAGGTTTGCATATCCATATTTATATTATCTTTGACAACAATTTAGATCCACTCCAAATTTTAATAAAAATTATTTTGGGCATAGTTTGTACCCGTCCAAGTAAAAAAAAAATAGTTGGGGTACACAAAGAAAAAATAAAAATAGTAGAAGAGCTCCGTCCCCCTGCTCACCCGGGGGGGGGGGGCAATTCGAGCACTGATTATTACTAATTAATATTATACTAATTTGAGTATTATAAATATCGAGATAGACCTAGCTAATGAAATTGTACCTGAAGAAATATTAAACTCATTTGCTAGTATCGATAGAAAGCTATGTTTGACACATTGAATTATAATATAATAAAAAAAAAAATGTGATAAATTTATTTTCTATTAATGGTATAACTATGAACAGTAGTTTAATTTAAATAATGGAAATGTTGGGGGGTGTAGGGGGCGGAGCCCCCCTACGGATTTGTGAGAGATTCATTATGGTAGCACCCCCAAGATTTGAACCCTAGTTGCGCCACTGCAGGTTGATCTTAAGGTTACACTGTTATTCGTACGAGTATACGAACGTAAAAGTGAGGTTACACTGTTATTCGTACGAGTATACGAACGTAAAAGTGTAAAACATTGGTGTTATTAATTACTTAGGACATTACATAGAATTCATTGTAAATTTACATACCTATAATATTATATACATTTATATCGAATCCACGCCCCCTCCCCCACCTATACATCAAATTGTGGGTACCATACTAAATATTTTTTCGGGCCATAGATAAAACTCCCAATAAAATACAACCCATTACAAGTGATACGAGTGTCCCATACATGATATACCTATTTAACATATTATTATAATATACATTTCTATCATAAATTATTATTAAATATAAAATAAGTATAAATATCAAAATTTCAAAATTTCAAAAATCACAGATTCATTTCAACAGGCCCCTAAAACAGCCGGTCCTCTGTAATCCAGGACAACCCCCCCCCCCCATTGTGGGTACCTAATCTAATGTATGACGTGAACAAATGTTTATACAATTCCACTATCCTCCTGCGTTTCGTGTAAACCACGTGGTTGACATATAACCATATACCTACCAAATAATTGAAAACATTCAACTACTTCAGTACTTGAACATAATATGTCGGTTAGGTGGTTATCAATAAATAATAAAATTACTTTACCAATAGGTAGGTATCAGTTAATTAATAATTTGGTGCAGTAGGTAACGAACTATTCTGATCACGGATCACGGAACACGTTTATAGTGGAACAACACGCATTAGTGTTTAAAATACAAGTTAAACCTTAGGAAAATAGTCACGTAGTTTCAAATAATATAATAAATTAAATATACTAAAACAATGTTTAAATATTAAGTATTATTGTGGATAATCGTCTCTACATTTATGGTATTTAGTATTTACATAATATTATTAAAACGAGTATATACATACCTATATTTGTAAAATACAAGTTAACCCTTGGCTAAATAGTCACAAGATTGGTCTTAAATTTATTATTTTCTATAGGCCTCAGATTTTAAGATTTTTTTTTAATACATAACATAAGAATATATTTTACTTAAGTACTTTTACGGAAAATTGTATACTCTTATATCTTAAGTATTAAAAAAATAAATATTGAAAACCACACTTGTGACAAACCTATGATATGTGAATTTATTTTCAATACTTTATACTTACCTGCATAAAAATATCTGTATAATCATATCAGATCTCACGGTTCGATTAATTATAAAAACAGTTAAGCGAATCATAAGTATAAATATAAACCTAAAACTATGTATTGTATAAATTATGCTTGTTTAATAATATCAAATCTCAGCCACTGCAGCTTAAAGTCGGAGATTATTAAAAGCTTCGCTGTTATGTACTCTATACTTTAGTCTATACTGACTCTATTAGATTTGATTTTAAGCATATTATATAAATATAATACTAATAATAATAATAGTTGTATACGAATGCTGCATTCGTTACGTATATTATGTATAATAGGGTAAGGGTTAGAGATTCCGAAAATAAAATAGTAAAAAAAAACATTCACACATTTCTACATGCGTTAAATACCATTACAATGTGCAGTTTTGTTTCGCTGTCTTCGTAAGACGAGCGAACCGAAAACGACAAAAAACAATACCTCAAAACATGGCATTATATATTGTTATTACGATATTATATAAGTATAAATGTACCAAGGTGGACCGGTTTAGTTGGCAGCGGTAGAATATAATATATTAGTCGACATCGCGCCCGCGCGAGAACAATATAAAATCTATTGGCGGCGATGAGAACATTAGTGTATAGTTGGGTATGGACTATAATATAATATGTGAGTAGTTTTTAATAATTGCGTTTGGGAAACCAAAAAAACAAAACGTTCCTAAAACCAGTTGCGACTTGCAGGGTGGCGGTGGCGGCGGAGCTCTCGTGGAAGGGTTGAAATGTAGGTGACTCGTGTAAAGATTTGAACGAGGGGTGATGTATTGAGTGTGCGGCGTGAATATATACAACCAGACGGGCTGCGAAGGATTACACGAAGGATTTATGTCTCGCGTGGATCCCTCTTGGCAGGGCGGCGCCGCTGCAGCGGAGAGACCACTCGAGACGCACCGCTCGGTACCACCTACCTATATTATAATATTATAACACCCCGCCGTCGACGATAATTAAACTATAATAAACCGTCCGATCATTATATTATAATATTCAACGGGTTTCGCGTGCGTTTGTATGTGCGGTGCTCGCACTATTATTATTGCATATACGTACTATATGTAATATGTATATACATATTACACAGTCATTGTGCGAATGGTAATTTCACGGCGAAGAATATATTATAATATCGTAACGGTGTCGCGGCCAGGAGTTAACGGTTTCCATATCACCGCAGGTATGTGTTCATATATCAGGTATCACGAGACGGAAAAGAAACGTTTCCTAGAGCGTTTCCTTAAAGGAGGGGCCCTGCGAACTGCATCGCTACAGCCGGCCGAGGCGTGACGTGTAAAAATCTCGGACAGTGCGACTCCCGCGACTAATGACGGTTTAGGTACCTATACATATTATAATTTATAAATATACAAATTTATACGTATTACACTAACTTCACGGACTACAAGTCCTCAGGATTTACATGACAAAGTGGTGTCCCACACGCAGTAAGGAAAATGGGCGAGACTATTTATCATCCACCGTTGTGTGGTGTTTTCGTCCCGATATAATAATATGATAGTCTCGTTTTACCTATATATATTATTATTGTAATTATTATTATTATATTGTATAAATGCGCACCGACACTCCGATTACAACCGCAGCCGATAAAATATATATGTGAACATATAGCACTGGCGCTCTGCTGGAGTATACATTGTATATAATATGGCACCCCGAGTCATCCTCGAAGGGTTGTCCAGGTTTAGAAGTGGCGTATATTATGCGTATACTATGCGTGTATTATATAATATACGGTTGTCGGAGGACGCAAATAAGACAACGACGACGACGAATACTATAGGGTCAAGGAGACTATACAGGGTTGCGGGGCCCGAGGGGGAGGTTACGTCTCCGCTCGAGAATTATTTATTGGGGTCGACTTTTCTCGGGGACGCGACGCCGTGCGCGAGCCGGGTGAAGTTTTGCGGATTCCCTACGTCGGACACTTCAAAGCGCCTCGCGGATTAACTCGTTCGGCCAGCTAGCCGGTTCGGACGCGATTCTTCTCTTCGTTCTTTCTCACTCTCTCTGTCCCCGTCTCGAATTTGCGGTCGAATAATACAGATTTATCGCACGCCAAATGCGATTTTATCTCATCATCCTCGCGCGGTCCAAAACCCCTTTTGTTTTAACGCCACCGAGATTTTGCCAGCGGGATGATCAAATAAGTTTAACTACGAATTTCTCGCAAAGGTCTTGGTGTATACTAACTGTATTCTCGTGTTTTTATCTACCATCTGACTTGTGTGTGTGTGTGTGTGTGTGTGTGTGTGTGTGTGTGTGTGTGGGTAACTTTTTGCGTGGCGTGCATGGTCGGGGGACGAGGACACTAGCAATATTATTATCACACAGTCTGGTCGCTTCTAGTAAACTTATATATTATATAATATATTTATTTAGTGGTTTTTCGCTTCTATATATGGAATAAACGGAAAATATATGTTTTTCGCCTCCCAACCAAACGGTAAACGAAAATCGATGAAACCAGTTTTACCACATAATATAATATTGTGTATAAATCATATAATCTTTCAATATTATTTGGCATAATTTATACTCATCGTCTTTGAATTTGAATATAGATGTTTATGATATCAAACTTATTATAATGGATACCACAGTTTGAATACACTGGTGAAAAGTAATAATATCAGACATGATTGCTAGATTTTGGATATATGTATATAGTTACTAGCCAATACTAGCGTATATGTCGATATAGTATTTTAGAAAATTAACAAATATTGTGTAACTTATAAGAAGTAGATAACAATCATTAATCATATGTATATAATATTCCATTCTAACGATATTTGTATAATAGTGATAGCTAGGGCGCGGATTTTTATGTAATAAAAAAGTCAAAATATGTAAATATTTATGTTGTTATTTTTGCCAAAATATGTATTAAAAATCATGAAATATTTAACAACAAAAAATTAATTTTATTAATTTAATTAATTTTTAATCAATAATCATCTAAAAAAAGTAATAAAGATATAGAATTCTGTTACATAACATATTTTTTTTGTACTTTAATTTATTCATCTTCATTGCAGTCGTCTTCGAAACAGTTTGAAACAATGTACCTACATTTGAAGATTTTCAAATTTAAATGTGCGGCGGTTAGGTCTTAAAATTGATTTGTATCTGCTGAGAGCGTTCCACGTCAACTGAGGTTAATGGGGCATATTTCATATTTGATATATCAGATGGTGCAAATTCAATATCCATTGATTGTTTTCATTTGTATTTAGAAGAATATTTCTAATAGTTTTTATGTGTTGTAAACCAACATTTTTAGCTAGTACGTAATTTAATTTATTTTTTATTATCACTCCAGATTCTCCTTGGACTTCACTAAGTGTATTTGCTGCATTTTCCACTATTTCTAGGCTTTCAACTAATGTGAGATTCGATGTTTCTAATTTTTTTATGACTTCAACCAAAAAACAAAAGTTTGCTAAAATATATGCTAAATTATTTTTTAGCTCGTTATTTTGCATAATATCTTTTGCTTTTGCAATAGAAATTGCATTATCCGAATCAAGATTTGAAATGATGTCTTTAATTTTTTCAAAATTGTTTGAATATACACGATTATACACGCACAACAGCACAACAGCATAACAGCAGACTGAATAATACTAACACTAACCGATATGGTGACATCAAATTTACGACGCGCGACGTCGATTAAGTCGATAGATGGTTAATTTTAACATTTCTGGAAATTTAATAAACACCTACATTTATAAAATATGTACTTATTAATAAAATATTTAGAAATATGTATTTACAACCAAATATGTGAAAATATGTAACATAAAAAATTGTCATTTTATTCAGGGTGTTATGAAACGTGCTTATTTTTAATCAGGACAATGATATCTGCACTCAATAAAAATATGTATTTACATAAAAATCCGCGCCCTACAGTGATAGCAATTGCACGGTATTAAAAATACAGGATATAAACATTCATAATAAGACATTTTGATATTGGATATTTTAAACCTGTTCAGAACGCTGAAGATCTTATATGATCATACTAAACGACCAACTGCTACATTTGAATAATTGAGCAATTAATTTAAAACTGAAAAACAAAATTTTTATGATAGACAATATTGATTGGTAATTAAGCGAATTGAAAATGTTTTGGCGACACAGCAATTTACATCAGTCATCAAAACCTTCCTCGTCAAACGATTTAATTCCCCGTTAACAGTGTATGTACAAACACTTATATGTATACACCATAACTTCTCAATTAGCGTTCCAACCGTTTGAAATCGTCGTTCATCATAAGCGTTCATGATTAAATTACCTAATAGTTGATATTAAATCACATATATATATACGGTACATTGTCGGTACATATAACACACTGATGTATAGCACAAGAGATAGCAAAATAATAATTCTTACGCTGTCGTTGAAAATTCCCATTTTGAAAGATTGTTTATTGACTATTTGACTGTGAATATAACAAATTAATTTATAAAAATAAAAATATTGTGAGTACGAATTCGTGTAATATTAATTTATAGATCATGATCATGATGCATAATAATAAATATTAAATACAATGTACAAAGTAAACGGTCGCGGTTGTACAACAAATATTATAACTGATTCGTTCTATTAGCCACTGCTGCAGTTGCGTGGCGGATGCGATTGCTGTAGCGAGCGGTATAAACTAAGGCGCAAGAAAGAAATAACGTCTAAATGGTACTATAGTTTACTTTCCGGTTTTAAAAAAAAGTTTTCATATTTTTACATTGCGATATTACGATAGGTTGTACTATATGTAATATACAAGGCGTTTGTACAAATACTGCAAACTTGGTTAATGTCTCCCCCTTCAGCACCTGTAGATATATTTACAGAATCATATAATATATTATATTAATATACATACGCGAATTCATTCGAGGCGGATTTACCGCGGTAAGTTTGCATAGAATTAAACAATTCTGAGTTCGATAGATTCCTCCGTTTATTAGAGATGCGAAATATTACCTTTATTATTCGATTAATACGAAAAATTGTATCTAATAAACGGAGTTCGGTATACATTTTTATTTCCTCTAACCGTGTACGACACCAACCGATACTTATAATTTTTTTTTTTTATTTAATGAATTTCTTTATAAGTTACAAATACATGATGTAAATATATACATAATATTTTCTTAAACAGTTAAACGGCATGTGTGTTTACACTTATCGTCAATATAAAAACTTGTTTCACCGTGGTAAACACGAACAGAATAAGTCCTATTATATAAATTACAATAATATAGGTACGTGCAATATTATTTTGAAGTGCGAGGCGCGAACGTAGAATTATTATACAAAAATCCGCCGCCAGGGATCGCACACGGTTGTTCGTCCTAATATGAATAATAATATGAATTACGAACTGAATATGTCTGATGTGTTAAAAATGTCATATGAAAAACATTTATTTATTAATTTTATTAATTTTTATATCGTTATAATGTCATAATGTTATACGTCTAGACAGGGGCGGAGTGGGAACCAAATCCAGGCCGGGAGTTTAAAATTTATCCAGGCCACCCAACAAATTTTTTGTTTCTCGCTAGGCTCGAATTTGGTTTTTATATTTGCCTATTCCAAAATTGCTTTCAGTATTAGAAAAGTATTTCAATCACTATCTTGCTATTTCTTTTAACTTCGTGCTTCTAACACATTGTATTAATATACCACTAAGTACTAATACCTGAAAGTCCGAAAACATTACTACAATCTTGAATCTATAGAGATTTTATATTCTAAATTATTACTGTTTGATGTTTGATAAGAAAAAAGTTAAATTAAATTAATGCAAGTACATTTTATTCAAAATATTGAAATATAAGAGCAAGATAAATTATCAATGAGGAAATGCACTAGGCAAATTAATTACATTTATTATAAATGTGTTGGAAATTCTTATATATTTTCTTAATTTTATTTATGAGCAATTTAAATAATAATAAGTTGTTCAATTTTTCTTTAAAATTAAAAATAATCCCAACATAAGTCATAACTAGTAAACTAGAACATTTAACTAAATAGTAAATAAAATACTTTTAAGATACACAAAATTACTTAAAAGAAAAAACGTGGATACACCATAAACGACACCGTCGACACACTCAACACCAGTGACCAGGGGACAAATATCAAACACTAATGACTAATTTGTTTGGGTTTATTACAGATATTATTTATAAAAATAACAATGACCAAAGTAAAGTGACCAATAATACAAAATTAATATGTATTAATGTATTACCATTGATTTTTATAAAATATACAAAGTACTAGTATTAGACATTAGTAGTACTTATAATCAATGGTATTATTAGTTATTATTAGCCATTTGGCATTGCTATATTCGTAGCCACTCAACAGCCCTACAGGGTACAAATAAACAACTTGCAGGTTTCAACATGTGGAAATGCGTCGAATCAGTAATTTATAATTTCTTAGAAGGTAATTAGTTCTGTTGGATTGAACCGAGACCACACACTATCTGGGTGTTTTTTTTATAAAAATAATCGACCTATATAAATATTATATTGCTTTGATTTTATTTGATATCTATATTTATGTACCAAATATTTTGTAATTTTATATCCAAAGATTTCCATAAGAGTATACGATTGTACGAGGCTATTACAATTTACTATTATTTCATTAATAATATTTGTACCTAATACAATAATTTAATAGAAACAAATTTTTGATGCATTTAGCATTAACTAATATTTTGTTAGTTAATTTAAATTAAAAAAAAAATCTAACAAAATTTCCAGGCCACTAGGCCATAGTATGGTCCAGGCCATCTGAAAAATTCCCATTTCCAGACCGGCCACTCCGCCCCTGGGTCTAGTGTAGTGTCTATGGGGAGCGGGGAAGCATCAGTGGGCTGCTCCCTGTTGGTATGACATTATGAAGAGTGACGATGGCTTGGATTTTATTTAAAAATTTATAAAAAAAAGTACCTGAGTGTTTAATTTAAAATATTTTAATATGTATATTAATTTTTTTTTTAAATTTTGAGTGGAGCAATGGTTTAATGTAGAAAATCGAATATTATTGGTACCATGGGGGGAGGGGGGTCGAGGGTAAGAATTTTCTTGTATTTTTAAAAATTAATCTGGTATAAACGAGTTATTTTTTTAATGTACATACAATATACATAATACAGTTTTTGTTTGTTATTATAACAGCTTAAAAATGCAGTAATACAAGGTTTCCAAAAGTTGTTCTTACTAGAATTGAAAATAAACGAAAATAAATAGTCACAGTTTTTTTTTATTAGAGTTTGAACTTTAAAGTTAAAATTTCTAAGACATTTATCAAAATCATGGAAATGAGGAAATCTCCTAATTATTTTATAATTAAAAATGCATACAAATTTTAATATTAACGTGGAAGCCTTAAGTAACATGTGCATAGTTTTGTTTGCCAATCGAAACGCACTATAAAAATATATTAAATTATGCCAATCGAGATGAATGAAAACATATTATTGTATTATTCCATGTCTAAGCGCGTAGGTACCTGTATAATAAGGTACACACTTCGTTCAGATGTTTTGAGAGGGAATATGAACTTTTTACTATTCTCGGATCGCGTCATTAGCTGTAAATATTGCTTTCATTGGTTGGTAAGATAACTAAACAATTAATACGACAAAAATAAGCCAAAGGAGGGGAGGGATATACAAATTTAAATTTAGTTAATTTCAAAATTGTTGTGGGGCCCCCTTGTGGTTGATGCCACCCTAAGCACGTACTCGTTTTGCTTAACAGTTAATCCGGCACCAAGTACAATAATGCGTATTATATATAGACGTTATAAGTTATAACGACACTAGGCAGTGTAGGTTTGTATACGTAGGTATAGTGTGTATTATATTATATAGATTAAAACCGCGTCCAAGCTAGGCGCCGCGGAAAATTTGTCGGGTTCACGCCCTCGTGATTTACGGGTTCCTTCGCCCCGTCCGCTGTACGGCGTTGTCGCGTTCACCGGTGAAAATTAGAGTGTAATTACACATTTTTGAGCGGACAACACGTCGACGCCCGCGTTTAGGTATATATACAGACCAGTGACCACTGACTAGCCAACTATAGAGTATAGATACTGGCACGAGGTTTGGAAACCCTGATTTTGTGTCGAGGATAGCGTTGTGTTCACTTTAATAATATGACTGTAACCGCAACAGCGTGCAAGAGTCGATTTAACTTGCATATAATATTATACACTCGTAACAACAGTAATCACGATTATCGTACTGGACAATATTATTGCGTGCTACTTCTACAGTATGCAGGTATAATAATTATTGTCAATTGTTCCCAATCGAATAGAAGTTCTTAAAACGATTAGGTATATAAAAATAATATGCTTTATATATTTTAGAGTTTAGGTTAGACCGATGAATTCACAATCAATACCTACCCCTCTATAGTGACCATTGACG